TGTGGGCCTGTTACAGGTAACCGCAGAATCTTCCAGAACACCCTGCTTTCCGTCTCCTCTCGCCAAGGAGACGGTGGTCAGCGGCCCCACCTTGGATGATTTGGGCCCAGGTCCCCCCTCCCCTTAGATAGAAGGGGTAAGTGAACATCGAAAAGGGAGTGGGGACAAAGAATTGAAAATAGAATGGCATAGAGCTGCATTTCAGATCGGAAATATGCATGTAACATTTTTCAGTGTAAACTGCTGTATGGTTCTTATTTGACTGCTAACCACAGGTCGGGGCTTCGCACCCACCCAGCGGTACGGCAAACGGCCAGGAAATCTGTTCCCATAACATTACAGCCTTGAAAACCTGAGAAGCAATTGTATTGTAGTCTGTAACGAGTGAGGTCGCCACGAGAAGAGATTTTCTCACCGGCAACTACCGCAGTTGAGCTTTGTTTAAATTTCAGACACTGAAGATGGTCCGAGAGGAGAGGCAAAGAGGCGAACAGGGAGCAAAACAAAGACATAAAGCCTCCGCTGTGTTTTCCTAAGAGACCCGCCCAGCCTCTGTGGCACGGCGCCCACTTACTTCCTTGCACATCCGCACTGTGGGAGTCTTCTACAGCCCCTACGGTCACCAACACTGGGTAGTTCAGCCTGGCCTTAGCTACTCAGCCCCGGCAGGTCCTGCCATTGACCTGCACAGCCGCCGCCCTAGGTGGGGAACACAGCTAGGCTCTGCAGCTGACAGATGGGATACCTGAGGCCTTGGGCGGCTCAGGCATGGGTCCTGGAGCCACATCAATGCCAAGTGGCAGAGCTCCAGGTCCTCCCCATTTTGACCCAGCAAGGTTGTGGCATCGTATATCACAGGGTGTGGATACACCTGCCTCCGATCCTGATGCCGCATTCTTCCCACAGCTGAAGCGCTTGGGTAATTTAACGTCTTGTGCCTTTAGTTTCCTTATCTGTAAGTGGGGACGATGGGGGACTCCAATGGTTCGGTGGTAGGATCCTGGCCTTCCGTAGGGGAGACCCAAGTTCCGCTCCCAGCCAACGGGTCTCACCGCACGCACAGCCACCGTGTGTCTGTCGTGGAAGGCTGTGTGTTCCCGAGATGTGCAATGGGTCTCTGCGAGCTTCTATTCTAGCATGAAGTAGGAAGAAAGGCCTGCCAATCTCCTTGTGAAAATCACCCAGTGATTCACAGTGGTCCGATCCCTAGAGCATCCACACAACAAGCGGCTAAAAATGGGATGGCTGTACTGTCTCCCTCCAAGGTGCTTGTGAGAAGCAGAGCGCAGCGCAGGCCTGTGGGAAGCTCACAGTCAGTGCTGTGCTCCGTGAGAAAACCTGCAGAAATTACAGCTTCTCTAACGTGGATATTTCCAGACAGAGGGGAGGGAAATGCTCGTGGAAGAAATGAATAGTTCATTCCTGAGAGCTGGGTGACCTCTCGGCATAAGGCAGAACTCCCATTCCTTGAGTAACGGGAACTCATGTTTTATTTATCGGAAGCCACAGAGATGGAATTTGCGCACACACACAGAAAAAGAGTCCTTTGTGGTTTGGGGGAACTGATAACATCTCTTTTTCTCTAGCCCAGAAAGCAATAATCCGGTACGGGAATAGATTTCTCTGGAGTGCTGTGCGTTAGCCCTGGAAAAGCTGTCCTATCTCCACCCAGGAAGACAGCGGCCCCGCACACACGCTGCCCAGGGGGGCTTGTCATTGTCCCACGTGAGCAATGGAAGCCTGTGGCGAGGGGAGGCAGCCAGCAGGGTTATTTCTGTCCGTGACGATGAGCTGTGCAGGGGTGGGGACACGGCGTGTTTTCATGGCGCATTAGGGAAGGCACGGAGATAAAACTTTAATAGCCTTTGTGGCACAACACGATTGAGTGAAAGACTTGGCAAGTTAACCCTACCAGGGACAGTCAAAATAAGTGGCTTAATTTACCCAGGAGGAGAGAAGGCTAAGTGATCATTTGATGCTCTCTATGAAATGAAAAGTTTCTTAAATGAGGATGATCTTCCCTCCTGCAGAGACTTAAAGGGAAGACAAACAAAAAACAGTGGAACAGTTGAGATCTACATTGATTTAATGTAGTAAAATTAAATAATAGGAACAGGAAAGGCCACGCCTTTTGTAATTTTCCATAGTAAAACTAAGTGGGAGTCGTACTTTCACTGGCTCCAACATAACAATTGTGAGGATGGCACAGGACCGGGCAGTGTTTTGTCCTGCTGCACATAGAGGGTCGCTATGAGGTAGAACTCACGAGACAGCATCTAACAATACTCATAGCCACCCCGCAGGACACCGCCGAACTGCCCTTGTGGGTCTCCAAGACTGTAACTCTTCACGGGAGGAGAAAGTACTCTCTCTCCCACAGACAGGCTGATGGCCTCAAACTGCTGACCCTGCAGTTAGCTGCCCAGCGTGCAACCACTCACCGTCAAGGCTCCCCTTCCCAAGAAAAAGGGCCCAACCGAATGTTCCGGTGATAGAACAAGATCACATGCAAGTAAAACTTTGCTGAATGTCATCCAACAGTGGTTGCAGCAGTCCATTGACAGGGATAGTCCTCAGTCATAAAGGGAAATGAAATTCTAATCCAGGCTGCAACCTGGGTGTTCCTTGAAATCATTCGGCTGAGTGGAAGAAGCCATACACAAAAGGCCACATACTACATAATGTCTCTTTTACAAACTAAATTAGACAAACATATAGAGTCAAAAGCAGATTCGTAGTAACCAGGGTGGGAGGCAGGGGGAGAGATGGGGACTTAATGCTTAAGGCTTACTGAGCTTGGGGTCATAGAAACATTTTAAACATTGATAATGGGGGTGGCTGCACAATGTAATTAATGTCACGGGTTGTACACTTCAAGATGGTTAAAATGACAATTAAAAACAAAATGAAGGGCACTGTGATTGGCACAGAGTCAACCATGCAGGGGCAGATGGGCAAGATGAGTTCCCAGAAGTCGGCAGAGCTTTAAAATTCAGGGAGGTGCCTTTGGGTTTGATTTTAAATGTGATGGGAAATCATAGATTTTAAGCAAAGAAAAACCTAGGTCCAGCTCCTATGTTAAATACACGTCTCATCAAGCATGCATCTCCTAGACCAAGGATGCAGTAAATTAGGAGCAAGAATGAGTCTACTGGTATGAAGTCCGAACAGACACAAAAGTCAACAGAGTATTGTTTGGAGGGGAGGGGAAGCGTGGACCTATAAATGTGATAAAGAGAATGAAGGATAAACACAAAATTCTGTGGAAGCTGTGGAGGAAGGGGTTCCTTGGGGAAGGGAACAGGGAGGCTTTCATGGTCCTGGTAGGTTATTTCTTTTTTTTTTTTTTGGTAGGTTATTTCTTGATTGAGGTAGAAGGCGAGGCAGCTCTTGACATATTACTATAAATATCTTTCATGTATGCCATACAAATGAGGGCTTCGAAATGGTACTCCAAGATCATGGAAGTTTTTTCCCATTAACTTTTTGAAGCTCCTCTCATATATTCATCTCTATTACATGAGATACTTCATTGTCCAAAGATTGTTTTTAAGCCAGTTCCTCTAACGGCTCCATGGCTGGATTGTAGAGACGCAAGAATGAGTTAGAAACGATTCCGTCACCCAGAGAGATGATGGCCGAGGGGGAGAAGGGAGACATCTGCAGCTCCCTTTACCAAGGAGTGCGGGAAGACAGCGGGAAGGACAGGCTGGGGTGGTGGAAAACCAAGGGGTGAGTGGTGCCCAGAGAGTGTGATCGGTCTATCAGACATGCATGTGGACTTATCCAGTAAACAGTTCAATGATAGTGGATGGGCTACCTAGTCTGCACCAGAGACCTAGACTTGGCCATCCCTGCTGTAGAGATGGTGTTGAC